CGGCCTTGGGGACAGCAGCACCCAGCGCCTCTCTGCCGCTCTCTGCCAGCTCCGAGTTTTTCCTGACACCCCCCACTTTTTTTTTTTTTTTTTTTTTTTTTTTGCAGTGCTTCTAAGCAGATTAAAGACAGATGGTGGCGGCGGCTCCTCACTGACCCCCACGCTCCGGGCAGGGGGTGAAGGCAAGAAGGGGAAGGCCGTGGTGAGGAGGGGTCATCCCCATCTGATTGCGGAGGGATGGAGCCTCTGGAGCGCCTGGCACCCGGTGCTGCCTCCGCTCAGCGCACACGGGAGCTGCCGCTTCCCTCCTTTTTCCGGAGCTGCCTCTGCCCAGGGCTCCATCGGCACCTGGAAGGCTCCCCATGCTCCGCTGTGCAGCGGCGATGCAAGTGCCTCCTGCCTCCGCATGCAGCCCCTCTCCAGCCCGTGCTGGAAGCCTCCTGACCTGGTCCATGTGCGCCAGGAGCACCAGCTGCACCAGCACCTTGCTTCTCAGCACCTTCCCTGACGGCTTTCCCACTGCTGCTGCCTCGGCAGGCGATGGGAGCTGCTGCTGAGGAGGCCTCCCAAGTGAGGACACTTCTCTTCATGGTGCTTTCCTTCAGCGGTAAGAAGCACTGGTCACTCTGCACATCGAGTTTCTTCCTGCAGCAGCCTGTCCAAAAACACTCACCTGCTCCCGAGTCCTGTGTGTTCACTGAGAGTGCTGATAACTGAAGGGCTTGTTGCAAAGGGGCTTGGTTGGTTTTGCTGCTTTAGCAAGCCCATTTCCCGGGAATGAGGCCCATGTCATGCCAGCTGGAGGAGCGAAGGTGGTGGGGACGGCGTGGGGGTCTCAGGGCTGCAGTGCATGAGCCCCAGGTCCCACAGAGGTGACTCTTCCCTCATTGTTTCAGAATATCTTGTGCCAGCAACAGCTGAGCGTCTCAGCACTCACCCTGGGCTTGAACCGCGAGGCAAAGGGGCAGCTTGCATTTAGAAGGAGACAATAATTGCAAGTCAGATTTGCTTGTTCAATACTCTATTGACAGATTTGCCTTGGCAACCTGGAGCAGGGTTTCATTGTGTGCGTCTTTCCTCATGGCATCCTATTGATTGCTTTTTTTTCCTCCTCCCAAGCATACCTACTCATCCTTTGCCTGTCTCTCTGCAGCGCGGTGTTGACCTCAGCCAAGGCTCCGTTATAATCCGGTTGTCAGCCTGGCCACGGCCTCGGCAGCAAGCGCAGGCCAGGCCTGACAAAAGCAGCTGGGCGCATCCAGGAGGCCAGCGGGCTTCCAGGTGGGAATGAATGGGCTGGGCCCCCTCCCGCTGCCGCCAAGGCCGCGGCCACGCCGGGGTTGCAAAGTCCATGCGGCTGCCTCGGAGAGCGGCCTTGGAGGAAACGCTGCAACTATTTATGAATTAACTTCCTGTTATTATTTAGTTCTTAACCTGGTGTCTTCCTGGCCTGAGCGGCTTCCAGAAGACACCGCTCGCCCTGCTGGGGCAGGCGCGGAGAGGAGCTCAACGCCCCAACTGCAGCCTTGTAGTCTTCTTGGTGGGATTAGAGGATTACGGTGGAGAAAAGAATTGCTGGTTTGAATTGCTAATAATGATACAGACTAATGAGCAACATCAAAAATGATGGCATGTGTAATCAGTGCTGCTTGATAGCAAACATCCAGCAGGTCTGCGGGAGCTGCTGGGGGATGAGGAGGGCGGAAATGAAGCAGCTTGTATTTTGGAGAGGCAAAACAACCCCCAAGGGAGGCACTGCCATAGAGCTGGCTCTGCTTCCAGGAAAAGTTTATAAAAAATGATGGAAAGAATAAACCTAGACAGACACCAGTTCTGGGTGCTGGGAGAGAACATGGCCAGCAAGTATTTGAGGAAAATCGCCTTGGTTTGCCTCTTAGCACCTGCAGGAAACCCATCTGCCTCAGTCTGTTGGAGTTTGTCTTACAGCTGCCCGGACTGTCGCCCCAACCGGGATGAGGCTTCGTGGCAGCACCCACTGCACAAGCACATGGTGAGGGGCAGCCGGATCCCTGCAGCTGCCTCCGCCCGGGACACGAGTCTCGGCTGCTGGAAGGAGCCGTGAGCACAGGGATCACGCTCTGCAGGTAAAGAGAAACCCGAGCATCTTTCCACACAGGTGTGTGGCAGAGGAAAAATCACCTATGGAGCGTGGATCTGCACCCTGGGCCTTCTTCAGAAACAGGCACAGAATAAACCAAATCCTTGATGTTAAACAACTGCTGTCCTGGGCTTTCCAAGGTGCCTGTTGGCTCTTGGTTCTTTTGATTGTAAGCCCCCTTTTTTTGCTTTGTCTTTGTGATGTGCCCTGGCTGGCAGAGGAGCGGTGGCAGAGACATTTGTCTCCCTTCTTTATTTGGGATATTTTATGTAGTCCAGATAAGGTGTCCTCTTGAGAACCAACAAAGGGAAAGATGTATCAGTTCATGAACTACTTGATATCCAAACAAGGCAAGGGAGGGAAAATCACCACCATTACCATCATTACTGTGAATCATGTGCAATCAGCCCGGTAACAGAAAGCAGATGAACATCCTGCAGAAAGCTACAGGCTGGGAGATGGTGTTGAGCTGCTGGAGCCACGAACGCAGGCACGATTAAAATGCTTTTAATAACAGTTCTCAGGGTTGTTTTCACCTTATTTTTTGTATTATATTTCACTCTCATACTCCTCCTAACATGGGTTAGGGGGAGTTACAAAGAAGTCTGATCAAGTTAGGGGGGAAATAAAGAAAAAAAGAAGAAAGAAAAGCGTGTGCAGGCAGCCCTGCCGCCCTTGCCTCCCGTCCTCGGCTGCGTCCCGGCGGCTGCGGAGCGGCGCGGGGCAGAACCGGGCTCCGCGACCCGGCCCGGCCCGAGCGCCGCCGCCTCGCGGGGGCTGCGCCGAGTCGCGCTCATCCCCGGACGTTTAGTTTTATTGCGAGCATTAGCGGTTTGTGCTCAGCTTGTCTCCTCTGGCAACAGGAGAAGCTGGAAATGTCAAAGGGGAGGGTTAACAAACTCCGTTGGCATAAATATCAATGAATATATGGGTCTCAGGAAAACCGCTAAGTTTAAAAGAAAAAAAAAATCTTTCTGTCCATGCTTTCTTTCGGCTGCCGTTCACAATGGGTAATAATTCTTACATTAAGCCCCCTTGGCCCTCCAGGGAAATCAAAATTGTAATATCAGTTTGCTTTTTATTGGCTCGTCTCTGCTATCTCGGCGGCGGAGTCTTTGTTACGGTCCGCGACGCGGTGACATTCAGCGCTGCCGCCGCGGGGGCCCGCGCACCCCCAGCGCCCCCGGAGGCGCAGGCGGCGCGGCCGG